AAAAAACGAGGCCCGCGGGATGTGTCTCGCTCAAAGTAACAGAACACCCGAGTGGAGAGACAGGCCCGGAGCCGACTCCGCCCTGTCCTCAGGGCGTCTCGCCACTCCGCCACCTTCCCAGAAAGATAAAGAACAGCGGGAGGCGTCAGGCCGGGCGGCCTAGCTGCTAGTGCCCTGGGGTTCGAGGCCGCTTCCCGGCAGCAGTGGGAGGAACGCCCCGAGGGGAGGGCAGGGGCGGGGAGGAGTTGAGAGGGGCGGGGAAGAGTTCGGGCCTCGTTTCCCACACTTCGTTAGGACGCGGGCTGGGGCGGGTCTGCGGCCGGCAGAGGGCGCTGGACGACTCCTCGCTCTGCGGGCCCGGCGGGCTGGGGGCGCGCTGCCCCGGGCGCGCCGTCGGAGCTCGCGGGCAACGGGTCGCGGCGGAGAGGGCGGCCGGAGCCCTCAGGGGAAGCGCGGAGGGTGGGCGGGCGACCGGGAACAGAAGGGGCGCGAAGGGGGCGGGGGCCCCGGCTGCAGAGGAGGAGAACTTGACCGCCGCAGAGAGCGGCTGAAATGCCTGTTCTTCAGGCCCGGCGAGCGGGAGTCTGACGCGATTTGCTGAGCCCTGTCCTCCGACGGCTGCACCCCGGCCTTGAGCGCCTCGGCCGCCTGTTCGCTGCTGCTCCTTCGAGCGGAGCCTGCGCCAGGTTCCTTTTGCATCCCCCCTGCTGGGGGACCCCTGCTCCTGAGGAGGGGGCCAGAGAGCCGCGGCGGCGGTCACCTGGGCCCCGGGGACCTGGCGCCGGGCCCGAGGAGCGGCGGAGGCCGCGGCGGCCTCGTCTCGGTCGCGGACTAGCGAGGCGCCGGTGAGCGCGGCCCACAGGCGGCGGCGGCAGGTGAGTGCGGGCGGCGGGCGCGGAGCCTCCCGGTGGGTGCAGCTGTCACGAGCCGCGCGGCCGCCGAGGCCCTAGGGGGCGGGGAGCAGCTGGCACCCCTCCGCCCCCTGCTCTCCTTTCTCCTGCTCCATCCACCTCCCACTTCTCCGAGTTCCCCTCGCGGCCCCGCGCGGCTGGAGGGGGCGGAGGTCTCAGCTGTCACGGGCACCAGCTGGGGGCTGCTCCCCGCCGAGGGAAATCGCTGCAGCAGCGACTTCTCTCCGCCTCTTTTCCAGTTGCCCTAGTTAGCGCGGAGAGGGCGAGCATCCGCGGAGGGGGCGCGGGCTGCGCGGCCGCCTGCCCGGCGTGGGGAGCGGGCGCCCGGGGCCGCCGCGGAAAGAGGGAGCCGGAAGTCGGCGCGGGCGCCCCTCGGCCCTGGCGACGCCGTGACCTTGGCCAGCTTGCTCACCTCTCGGAGTCTTGCCGACCCGGACCGCGAAATGGGGGCGACCGCGGCGTCGGTTTCGGTCGGCGCAGCCCTCGACGGCGCTGGTGTTTGACCCCGGCGCGCTTGCTCGCCCCTTCCCCCGGGAAGGGGTTTCGGAGGTAGACGTGGGATGGATACTGGACATGTTCCTCCCGGGTTTGGTCCCCTTCCTGGGATTCAGCCGAAAGGGCCGAGAAAGGGAAGCAAACATGTTGACGATTGGGAGGTGGGGTTGGTTAGTGGGCAGTGACAGAATTCGGGCCGCTCTCTAGTCTGTTGGAAAAGACCTGGAGGATCGGACACCAGGGTCTCCAGTCCTTACTACCCAGCTGTGGTGGCTGCTTTTTTATTTTATTTAAAAGGAATCACCCCCATAAGTAGACATTGCCCAGTCTGACGACGTTAGAGGGAGACGGAGGGGTTGACAATACAGCCTGTGTGTGTGTGACAAGGACAGGCCACGGTGTTGTGGCCGGAGAGTTTCGTAGGAAGGAAAACTTTAAGCTGGAGGATCTGTTAGCCTCTCATGCCTGGCCCTCCTCGTTTCTTATAGAGGTGTTGAACTGGAGAAGGTGAC